CTTGAAAACAAATATTTACTATTCTGCAGTTTTTGATGAACTGTCTTATGAAATACAGTACTCAAATACTTTTACTGATAATTCTAGAGCATTTCACTAATTATATAAACTATATAGGTTGTGGTACAACAACACTTTAGGTTTGTATAGCACCTAGGAGGGTGGCCAAAGGTGCAGTCAAAGAGGAGGACCTTGAGATGTGCCTTATAGGAGGGAGGCAAGGGAGGGAGCGAGGCGAAGGGACTGTGGGAACGAGTTCCAAAAGGTGGGGCAGAGAGGCTGAAGGCTCGACTGCTGATGGTGGGGTGGACCGGGTGGAGGACATGGCGCAGGCTGGAGCCTGCTGAGCGTAGGGAGTGAACAGGTTGATATAAGGTTAGCAGGTCACAGAGGTAGGAAGAAGCAAAGCCTTGAAGGCAAGGATGAGGGTTTTAAACTCTTATCTTTTTTCAGGCTCCGGCCTGCTCCATATCCCCCACCCTTCACCTCATTCCCTCTGTGGGATAGAGTTTAAAATAGGGGAGCCTGGTGAGGGTGGGGGTGATAGGGTCATGGAGCCTAGTGCTGGAAAAGACATGTGCTGCAGAGTTCTAGATGATCTGCAGCTTGTGGAGGGAAGAGTTGGGAAGGTCAACAAGCAGGACGTTGGCATAGTCAAGCCTAGATGTAATGAACATATGGATGAGGGTTTCAGCAGCCTGAGTGATGAGGCAGTGGCAGAGCGGGCGATGATGCGGAGGTGAGGGTAGGCAGAGTGGGTCATGGCATGAATGTGGAGTAGAAAGGACAGTTGAGGGTCAAACAAGATGCCAAGGTTCTGGACTGGCTCAGTGAGGTGGAGTGTGCATTCAGGGATAGTGATGCTGCCAGTGTCCTGGGTGTGGATGCATTTACGGGACCCAATCAGTAGGGCGTTGGTCTTGTTGACGTTCAACTGGAGAAAGTTAGCTCTCATCCAGCACTAAATTTCTGCCAGACATTCTGTCATCACAGCAGTGGTCCTGGAGGCGAGGGTGGAGCCAGAACAATAGTGTTGGGTGTCATCTACGTATATGTGGAAGTTGACCCCATGTCTGTGGATGATGTCACCAAGGGAGCATGTACATATCGAAAAGGAGAGGACCAAGGTCAGAGCCCTGAGGAACGCCACATGAGACGATGTGGGGGCTGGAGGAGAAGCCATTTGTGGAGAAAAAGTGGAGACAGTGTGAAAGGTCGGATCTGAACCTCTAAAGGACAGAACCATGAAGGTTGAGGTGAGAAGCGATGGAGGAGGGTAGAGTGGTCAAAGGTATCAAAGGCAGCAGAGAGGTCAAGGAGGATGAGGAGACAGAGGGAGCCCTGATCACAGATGGACAAAATGTCACGTGTCACTTTGACCAATGATGTTTCTGTCCTTTGGACAGTACAGAAATCTGATTGGAGGGGTTCATGGAGGGAGTGGTGGAAGAGGAAGGAGCAAAGCTGGGAAGCAACAATTCATTCCAGGACCTTAGAAAGGGAGGTTGGAGATCGGGTAATTTGAGAGCATGGATGGGTCCAGCGAAGGTGTTTTGAGGATAGGGGTGATGACAGCTGTTTTTAAGGTGGTGGGAACGGTGCCAGTGGACAGTTAATGATGTTGGTGAGTAGAGTGGCAAGGAGGTGGAGCTGGGAGGTAAGCAGAGGGGTAGGGATGGCTCAAGGGATCAGTTGGTGGGTTTCATATACAGCGCAAGGATACCATGTTTGCTATATTTTGTGACTACAGGTACATGCAATAATCATTGTGACCACTGATAACTGCAATGACTTTTTTCAGCATTTGTGTCTGCAAGATCATTCAGGTGATTCACATGACCCAAGTATTATGATAATAGTTCTGGCACTAGTTATAGTGCCTTTCTCTGCAGGAGGATCTCAAATTGCTTCACATCATTTACTGCCTCAATCCCTCCTCCTTGCCACCTCTTTGCCAGTCTTCAGATCATACCTGAAAACTTCCCTCTTCGATTGTGCTTATGGTCACCTCAGTTTGACTCGGTTTCAAACTAAGCCATTGTTAAGTGCTCTGAGTTGCTTCATGAAGGGTACTGAATAAATGTAACTTATTGTATTGTATAGACTAATGCCTATGTATTTTGCAGCCAATTATATTAATGTAATTGTTTGGCCACAACATTCCCAATAATACTATTTTTTTCCTGGACACTCTTAGGTTCTGAGTTCATCCAAGACTTGAATTCTATCATACTCATGGAGATGATTCCAGTGCTTTTATTGCATTTCTGCACATGCAGAAAAGGCTGTGGTCATTTGATAAGCGAACTCAACTCTGACCTCTATTCTCTTTTGCTTTGTTGTAACCTTTCTGGCCTGCTTTCATTAGTACTGTATTGATGCACAGATAAGGATTGCATGGTCATGCATTTCATGGCTGTTTGTGGGATATTGTTGTACATAAATTGGTCACCAAGATTGCCTACAAAGCACAATCACTACTTTAAAGTAAATTCTGTGAAGTGTCTTGAAACATGATATCAAATGTAAATATTATAATTTTTAAGAGATAAACTAATTCTTTGAAAGGGGATTTTCACTCTCAAATCCAGCAGGTAAACATCTGTTAATCTATTAGGAGTCCTGTAGCTCAGTGATTAGAGTATTCACCTCGCACGTGAGAGACCTGGGTTTGAGTCCCGACAGCGCAAAATCTTGGGCAAGTTTCCTTACTCCACATGCCTGATAATAATCCCTCAAGAAAAAAAACACAATAATAATTTGGTCGCTCAATCCACGACTGTTTGTGGGACTCTGCTGTGCGCAACTGGCTGTTGCGTTTCGCCTACAAAATATACAGTCAATTCACTTTACAGTATACTCTGTGAAGTGCTTTGAGATGTCTAGAAGATGTGAAAATATATCAAAAGCGAGCATTATATTTATTATTATGACCACTGCTGTACCACGAGTGAATTATCCCAGTCTATAGCAACTGAGAACACATGTAGTAATCAAATAGCCTCGACTGTTGACCTGGGTATATCGATCGTTAGACTAACTAGGCTCAAATTACTGAAACAACCAATCTTTGGAGTCAGTTTTCAGCTAAATCAAATCACTCTTCCCACACCCCCATCCATGAAAACTGTCCCATAAATCTGAGGAAAAGGAAATAAACAAGTATTTAAACTGTGCAGAATAGATAGATGAGCACACATAATAATATTAAAAAAAGGAAATGGAGGTGGGAGAAAAATGGAGTTTTCATATTCATAGAGATGGCATTGGAGGAAAATAAAGCACTTGATTAAACATTTTATTTCCAATGAAGTTGCACGTTTATTTCAGTGTTTGAATTATTTACATGCTTAAAGCCTTGCTTGTAGCTCAATTGCAAACCGCAAGCTTGTGAGTTATCAGCTGACTGGTGAAATAGAAGCTTTTTTCAATATTATTCTCCTTGAGGGAAACCTTTGTCATGCCCTCCTGTTGCCGCACTCGTATCATCACTTCAACAGGACTCCCTCACTCATGGAATCCCAGTGGAAAAATCCACATCCCACAGCAGAGATTTTAGTCTTCTATCCGATTTTGTTAATTTCTTTGGATTTTGTTTGGAAAGGCAGAAGTAGGGATAGACTGTACAACATTCAACACAGTCTCATGAATTCAGCTCCCTTTAAATCATGGGACATTGAACCGAGATCCCATCTGCCTGTTCGGGTGGACATTAAAGATCCCATGGCACTATTCGAAAAGAGAAGGGAGTTTCTTCTGGTGTCCTGGCCAACAATCCCCCAAATAAAATTGATCACTCGCTCCTTGACTATTTGTGGAACATTGGTGTGTGCATTTCGCCCACAAAATGCATAGTCACTCCACTTTACAGTATATCCTGTGAAGGCCTTTAAGATGTCTCGAAGATGTGATGCGGCACGATATCAAATGCAAGGATTATTATTATTACAATACGCTTCAGGGTCATAACCTGCTCTGCTTTTGTTCTACTTGAATTTTGCATTTCTTTCCTTTTACGAGTAACAGTTCACCATGTTATGTTAGATGTACTGTATTCTTGCAAGCAAGAGAACCTAAGTGCGATTCCCAGACAGGGTGAAAGGTTAGGCAAGTTTCCTTAATCCACACACCTCTGTTTACCTAGCAGTAAGTAGGAACCTGGTTGTGAGTCGAATGGTAGATCGCTTTTCTGGGGTTAATAATCCCTTAAACAAATTGATCACTGAATTAATGACTGTTTGTGGGACACTGCCGTGCGCAATTGCCTGCTGCGTTTTACCACAAAAAAATCTGCAGTCAATTCACTTTACAGTATATTCTGTAAAGCGCTTTGAGATACCTCAAAGCTGCGATAAGGCGCTGCATCGAATGCAAGGATTATTAGTATTATTAAATGAAGAGATCACAGTACATCCTCACAGCTGTTTTGTACTCCTTTCCCTCCCCAATTGAAGCAAAGGGCCAATTTCAAGGTTTACTTTCAACTCCCTAAACGTGGTGCCTTATAGGCAGCATGAAATAACGAGGCACGTTTCTGTGAGATTGAGAAGGGATACTCTAAATACGACCTGGTGCAGGCAGGGTGAAATGTCAATTGGATTCAGGGTTTGATGTGGTTCCTCTTCGGGGGGTGGGGGTGGGGGAGTGAAATCACGTTAAGTACTATTTCGTGTGAGGCTTTTTTTTAAAAAAAAATACAAAAAAATACACAGACTCCCTGATGGATTTGCAGCAATGCACATCAGCATCGTGTCACTTCCTCGCCCAGATTGCTTACTCAGCCTTTGTCCAGTGCAGGCGATTAACATGACATCCTCTTTTTATAGATGTGGAGAGAGAGAAAAAAAAAAGCAATTATTGATTTACATGAATGCTAATGAAAGGAAACGTGGGATTTGTGCTGGTGACGACGACAGCTGCAGTTGTCTGTGGTCCTCACCCAGCCTTAAAGCCAGAGAGAGAGGACAGACACACAGACAGACAGACAGACAGCTGCAGGGTGCACACACAGGAGCTTGCAGACAAGACAGCTGGATCGTCCTGGTAAGCAACATTGGAGGAGAGACAGACGGAATTAACACAGAGACCTGCAATCTACTCATTCTCTACTGCTACAGACTGCAGCCTCTTTCTCCACAGATACCCCCCCCCCCCACCACCCCTCCTACCACCCCCTTCCAAACCCAGAGACGCATCTCCAGGTCAATCCTCAACCATCACAGGGGGTGATTGAGCTGTTTTGTTTTTTGCAGCCTGGTTCTCTATCCTCAGCACATCTTTTCCGAAGAACTTTGGTGCCTTTTGCTCTCTCTCTCTCTCTCTCTCTTTGTTTTCTCCTCCCAATTTCAGGTTAGTCTCTCTTGCATTCTCTCTCTCTCTCTCTCTGTGTGTGTATATATAATATATTTGCTTGAAATTAACCATTACTCAAAAAGGGCCCTTACAGAAGGGGATGATGGTTTGCACACACACACAAAAAAAAGGTTTAACTTCGTGGGTTGTAAGTGTTTCAAGTCGGAAATGTGAAAATATTTTGTGGTGGGAGCACAAACCAACACATTGGGTTAATCTATCTATTGTTATCTCCAGGAGGAAATAACATTACAACCGTGTGTGTGTGTGTGTGTAATTCTGGTGGATTGATGCTTGTGAGAGTCTGGCTCAGGCACTCTGAGATGGATGGTGGGGAAATCCTCTGATATAAACTTATGTCGCACAATTTTTAGTTTGCATGGCTTTGCTTATATTTATATTTCCAACAGTACTGTTAACCTACTGATACTTAACGTGCAAGTTAGGGCTGCAGCCTTAGAAATGTGCTGGTGGAGTGGAGATTTGCCCTTTCCAGCTGTAAGCAGATTTATTTTTTTTCCCTTTATCTGTTTTTTTTTTCCTTTTTAGAAAGGCAGTAATCTGATTATGTTTTGAATAGTGAACTGATAACGCAGATGGGGTGCATTTTAATTGGGGGAGGGAAGGGTGAGTGAGTGGGAGGAGGGGGAAGAGAAACTGCAATCTTTTATAATAATATCTGGGGCTGAAATGTGTGTACAGTAGGTGCAAACTACGAAGTAATTCATCCCCTTTTGAAAGCCATTGAGCCTTTTGCCCTGTAAGCTGCCTCACCCCCACCCCTTAACGCTCTGTCTCTCTCTCTCATCCCCCTCCCCTTCATTGAATCGCCTTTTAATTCTGTTCTATGGGGCTGGAGCAGATTCTGTAACAGCTGGAGCACAGATGGCAATGTGAGGTTAGAGGATTTATTCAGTGAATGCAGAGTAATGGACTGGGAAGGGCTTCAATGTCTTCTCATCTGTCGATCGTGCAGCACCAGTTTATAATTTTAAGACCAATGCAAGCATTTGGGGGAACATTGTAACCTTTCACCAAGCTTGACAACTTGTGATTAAAGCACGATTAGTTTAATGTGGAGAAATCTGAATAATTGAAAAGCAATGCATTAGAAGTGGGAAGTGAAAATCAATTAATGTCTCTTAAAAAAATATATACACAGAAATATTGCATGATGTGATGGGGGGGGGGGGGGGGAGGGTGTAGAGGAACACTTCTTTGTAGTAGCATTATTTTTTAAAAAATTTCAATAGACCAGGATCTATTATAAACTGTTAAATGTTATATAAACTTGTAATTTGGGTGCAACTGGCATAAATCTGGGAATTTTCCAAATCCTGAGACTCGCTCCTCTAGCAAAGCATTTCCCAATAGTGGAGTTTGCTGCCTTAAAAATACTTAACGCTGTTCTTTCATGCTTGTTGGGGTTATTGCATGTAGCTGTGCCAAGACAAAATCGATAGCATTCTCAAATGCATTGGATGCGCTAAGTAGGGTGGAGACATGGTAGAAATTTGGTGCGCAAAATTCAAACTTTTTTGCTTTCACTTTCCCAGACCACCATCTATGTGGGTTGGTGGATAAATACCTTGAATCTAAGCCTCTAACAATGTCGTTCTGATTTTTTTTAGTCTTAGTTTTTGTTCCCCACTGTGCATTGAAGGTTTCTCTGTGATGAGAGGTAAATTCTGAGTGGTCTTAATGTGTGTTGCTCCCCTCCACAATAAGCTGCTGATCTAGAAGGTTTCTCTCACAATCTACCTTGTTCAGAGCAGTTGGGAGTGAAATGTAGGGAGGGGAAAGAAGCAAGAAGGTTTAGCAGCCCATGATGAGTATTACATCTTTTCGCCAGGCAAACTTTCCAGAATGTATTTTAATAATAATGGCACATCAATCACATTCTAGGTTATAAAAATGGCCAACAGAGGACCGAGTTATGGTCTCAGCCGAGAGGTTGAGCAAAAAATTGAACAGAAATATGATCCGGAATTGGAAGGAAGGCTGGTGGAATGGATCATTGCACAATGTGGTGGGGACATAAATCGCCCTGAGGCTGGAAAAACAAATTTTCAGAAATGGCTGATGGATGGCACAGTAAGTGTAATATTGTGGCTTCATAAGTTGTATTGCTTGAATAAGGAGAGAGTTGTTCATCACGCGATCATTTTAATCAAGGTAGTTTAAAACAAACATGTGGACTTGATCCTGTGTCATTTACTGTTGGTGAGATAACTAGTGGTTTCCATTTAGTTTCACTTGAAATTATAATAATAATAATCCTTGCATTTGATATTGAGCTGTCACTGGATCCGCAAAGTAGGGTGGAGACATGGTAGAAATTTGGTGCTCAAAATTCATCCTTTACAAGCACTTTGCTTAATTTGAAATCAAAGCCAATTTAGTCATTCCAACTGATTGCCATTTGTGTTTCACATTAAATGACTAAATGGGTTGGCCCTGTGCTGTGATCTATCACTGGAACTGGTACAAAAATACATCTAGAAGCTTGAATTATCGCTTAACCACTTTCACTTTAGATTTTGGCATTCTGATGTAAAAGCATTTACTACCATTAAAATAAATGGACACTCCAATTTGGCAATTGTGAAACTGGTACTGTAGCCTGTTTGATCTTTGTTGGCTTTCTCATTAAATTCAGTGAAGGAACTAATGCATGGATTCTCAGTTCATTCCCCACCCCCACTGGAAGAGGGAGATTACACCCCAAGCCATGCTCATTGCAATTTTTTTAAGAAAACAAATCAATTGCCCTTCAAGGCTCAGTGGCTTACAATTAAATATTCCTTAGCTTGGGAACACTGTGACCCACCACTGTCCTAACTCAAATCAGTTGGAATCAAATTAGCCAGAGATTGAACTTGACTTTATGCAACTTTCTATGGATTATCATATCATTCAGAACCTAAACTCAATTGGAGTAATGGTAGTGGTTATGACATTGTTGAATTTCTCTGCCACCCACACCCTTTTTAAGTGAAGATATTTTAAGATTAAAGCTTGAATTTTTCTGTTTGTCACAGTGCCTTTCATGTCAGGTGGATACCTTGAAGCCTTCACAGGATTTATTGTAAAGTGCAGTGACTAATGTGTCTAATTCACTAGTCAATTAATTTAATGCATTGTTGTAATTTAAGAAGCATAATATTTTCCCATCTTGAGTTCATTCTTCTGGATGTGGGGTTAAATGTATAATTTAATGAGGGATGTTTGCCAAGGCTCAAGAGCTTACTCTTTGGAAATCAAGTTTATTATTTGCGTAATGTGTAAAATTGGTTTAATGTTTCTGTATTTTTGTTCTTTAGCTATTGTGCGGAGTTATAAACAGTCTCTACTCACAAGATGAGGGGCCAATCAAAAAAATTCAGAATTCCAAAATGGCCTTTAAACAAATGGAACAAATCTCTCAGTTTCTGAAGGCAGCTGAAGCTTATGGCATTACAAAAACTGATATCTTCCAGACTGTAGACTTGTGGGAAGGTAACAATAACTTTCTTTTCTTTTTGATGGCGGATTTATTTTGAGGCGGTGGGAGGGGTTCAAGAACTAGTTTCGAATCTAGAATAAAACAGATGGGAGACAAAATGACCTTTTGTAATTTTTTTTCGATCAGTTCCCAGGGGATGCATGCCCACAAGCAAAAATAAATCGATGATGCATTTGAAGCAAATATTGTTCCTCAAACCTTTCTCTGTTACAATCTTGGGCTCTTTAATTCAACAGTCATTCTAAGGGAAATTGTTTGCAATGTTCTTGTAGTACGAATTCAGGCTAGGCTTTAATCTGTTTAATTCTGGTCCAAATGCAAAAAAACAAAACTCTGTAGTGCCTTTACTACAACAACTTGCATTTTTATAGCCTTGGAGTCCTGTAGCTCAGTGGTTAGAGCACTCGCCTCACAACTGAAAGGTTCGATCCTGGCAGGGTGAAATGTTGGGCAAGTTTCCTTACTCCACAGGCCTGATAATAATCCCTCAAGATAAAAAAACAAAATAATAATTTGGTCACTTTAATCCACGACTGTTTGTGGGACACTGCTGTGAGCAATTGGCTGCCACGTTTCGCCCACAAAAATGCAGTCAATTCACTTCACAGCATATTCTGTGAAGCGCTTTGAGACGTCTAGAAGACGTGAAAAGCACTATATCAAATTCAAGGATTATTAGCTTGGATTCCGTTAAACTTCTCAAAGCACTTGAAAAGATTGATGGGCACCAAATTAGAGATGGTTGCAATATTTTTTAAACAAAACAATCAACACAGTGGTATTTGCTGATGATGCTTCTGACTGCTAAGGTGCTCATGCAAGAGCAGAATAAAGTTGGACAGAAGGTTGGAGACTGTTTACAGATGTAGTTTGGGAAGAATTGGGTGGTGGAGTGAGAGAAATGGAATTTGAGCTACATAGTCTTGGATCTTGAATGAGTGATGCCTGTGAATTGGAGAAATCTATCCTAGAATTTGAACAAATCCCTATGATTCATCTTCATAGTTGTTTCACTAAACCCAGTTGTTCTCTGCCATGCATTCTACACATCCAAAATCCATTTATTGATGGCTTTTAAAACTGAAGATGAACTTGGGTGTTGCTTGATGCTCACTTCTAAACTGGATGAAGTGAATTTGTAATTGTTTGTTAGTAAAGGAATACCTTGGCTTTCGGAGGAAGCTGAGGTTTCTGCATTGTTGCTAATGGTCAGTTAAGTCTTCAAAGTGGAAATAATGCTATCGACAGTCTTATTTTCCCATTTAATGTCCGTGGTATGACTCACTGCATGGACTGCTTAAGTTGCATTGTCGCCAGCATTCATTGCGTAAAATTAAGTTATCTTATCTCTGCAGGAAAGGATTTGGCTGCGGTTCAAAGAACTCTAATGGCTTTAGGTAGTGCTGCAGTTACCAAAGATGATGGATTTTACAAAGGTGATCCTAACTGGTTCCATAAGTAAGTACTATTTGGTTGTCTAATTCTAGAATGTTTGGTGCAGGATGGCAAAAGCTAAGACTTGTGACCCCAGAGTGTTCAATTGAGGTACTGCTGGAGTTAAATCAGCTTTTTTTTAAAAAAAACATAGCTTGCCTTTCATCTTATTATCTGGAAAGCTTCCTGCTGCTTGGACATGTTGAGGCTTTGGCTTTGTCTGAGGGTTAATGGGAACAAGAGGGAAGAATCCCCGCTCCCTTTTGAACAGTCTGACCTTCCAAGTTCTGCTGATGAATCAGGCTGCCTGGGCTGTCAGCAGCAGTGTCCTGGAGTACTCATTCTACTGCCAAGCATGTCACCTTAAGCCAGTTCAGTTCCAAAGGGATCCTGGTTATCTTTCTCCTACCCCTCCTCCTCTTTCTCTCCCCTCCCCTGGCCTCCCACCCCAGAGGGTAGTCACTAGTTTTATTAGTGCCAAGCCACCTTGGGGCATTCTCCTGAGGTGGGAGGTGCTATGTAAATTGATATTGCAGCTAGTCATTTGGAATCTGACTAGCGTGGGTTTAACGTGAGTTTCATTCGGCACTATTAAACAATGGCTTTTATTTTACATCTATGCACCTGAGTATTGTAATCATTTATAGCAATTCTTAAATTGAACATTAATTTCATAATGGGCTTTGCTGGCTGTTCTGTCCAATGTATTGAACAATTTCTTTCCAACAGGAAAGCTCAGGGAAATCGTCGAGCATTTTCTGAAGAGCAGTTGCGGAAGGGACAAAATGTTATAGGTCTTCAAATGGGAACAAACAAGGGGGCCTCCCAATCTGGCATGACTGGTTATGGCATGCATCGACAAATCATGTAATCTGCCATACTACGGTGAGACGCATTATGCGTATCAATCTTAAAGACATGGCAACATTATAATTAATGACTTTTTATCATGGAAATAGCCATTCTAACAGACTGCTTGCTTGTGCTTTACTTGTGCAACTCCACCCCCAAGTACAGGCTGACTTTCTCCCTCTTTCTCTCCCCCCCCCACCCCCCACTTATAATGCATTGGTTTGGGTCCATGAACTCAGATGCAGCATATATTAAGGTCACCTAAAGGCAGTCAATCAGTCCATCAAGGTTGTCACTGACCTCACTTCCTGCGCGCTATGCCTTCGTGCAGGAAGAGCTGTCGATGCCAGCGTTGTGCACTGTGCATAACGCACACGTGTGCATGACATCGGCCTGCGCACTATGCCCACAAAAGTCTCACACCCCTTTACAATATATCATAGTGATTTGTTCATAAGTGAACCAAATTAACAATTTTATTTATGTGCAGAAAGGCAGCCACAAGAAGTGTAGCCTATTTCTGATATAGCATGGGTCCCAGGTATATATATCTACTATAAGTGGACCTGAGCTAAGCTGAGGTGTTGGCACATGACTAGCAACTTAAATTCTAAGTTTCACCACTCTTATTGCACTTCATTTTTTTTACACAAATTTGTTGTTACTAATTTTGGCTTCATAACCACTTGTTCTCACTAATTTTATACCAACTCCTTCACTAGTTAACTCCATATAAAACTATCTTTAACCACGGGGAAAACATTTTAAACCCCTCAACTCCTGATCATTGTTGTACCACAGTATATTCTGCAAGTGAAGCTCTACAGTGGAACAATAGATTTGTATTTCCTTTTCTGGTTAAGTGTATGAGTGTAAAGATAATTCTAACTTTAAAAGCAAAATAATGACTTTAGTGGATTGTAGTAAACTATTGTAACTAATTCAACTAGAACATAAATTTAGTATTGCTGTACTTGTGTGTGAATTACACATTAGACTTGTGAAAACTTTAAAGCCTTACAAGTTAGGATATTTCTACAAATTGGTGTTTACAAAAGAGAAATTGCCATAAAACTCTTTACATGCCAAAATGGTCTAGCTCATCTTAAGCCCTAAATGTTCAGAGATCTGTTAATGGCACTTTGAGAAATAGATACTTTGAATGCAAATTGATATTTTATTCTGATTCTTTCTGTTTTGCAATATATCTTTGGTTGTTCTTGATGTACTGTTAGGTTGCACAGATTTTCTGGGGGAAAAAAAACCTGGAACAAACATTGTTCTCTTCCGAGAACCTTCAGAAGGTAAAGGTTGCAGAACATCTTGCTTTCTGTTAGTTAATTTCAGTTCAAGGGATTTCTTCTCGTCTCCTTTTTCTAAACTATTCAACTCCAGATGGATGCTCACAAAAAAAAGGGTGGAATTGTACATTAGTGTGTTCAAAGCTTGCATTGATGCTTCATAGTCTGTCATTAGGTGAAGGGTATTCTTGCATAACTAATTTCAATGTAATGAATTTTTTGTAAAGGCTAGCATTATAGGGCATTGCATTTATACATGTACTTAAATGTGTTGGAAATGAAGTAGGTTGCAATTCTCAAGAATAATTTAAACTTCATTCTTTAAGAAGCGTTCTCCTATCTTATGACATATATCAGTTTTTCTCTGAAATGAGATGTGTGAAGGGACAGAACCTCTATTGCATTGGCTATCTATAGAAGTTAGCTGACTATGATGGAGATGCAAATGCATCTGAATTCCTTTTTTGGGGGGAGGCGAGTGGAAGAGATCCTTAGGACTGTTTAATACTTGTGTGCTTGTTCAATATGTTAGGATTACTGAATTAAAGACTGAAATGATCATTCAGTATGTTCTACCCCTGCTCTACTTGACTCTATAACTTAAATTGATTATTTTAGCAAGGCAGCTTATTTGTAACGAAACAGTTTTTAAAGCTTTTTAGTAAAGCTAATGTATGTGGTCCATTCCCAACCAGGTACTAGGACTCAATTATACTGGCTACTTTGGTGAGAAAACAAGCTAACTGAATGAAATGCATGTAATACACTGTACTTTGTGCATACAGTTCACCAGTGTTTATTTACTATGTACACAATCACAAGGAGGATACAGCATAATTTTTCACCTGAATCTAAAACTTGTGCTTTAAGGATTATGTTGTATAATGGTCTTGTGCGGCACACTCACAATATTTATTGTTTTCTAAGAATTGCCATAATGTTTACAGCTGCTAATTCTGCTTTTATTTGCAATGTTTTCAATTCTGCTCTTCTTGTTGGGGTGTGAAGACTCATTCTAGCCTCTGGCTACAGTGTTTCAATGTTCTAAGCAGTATTTATTAAAGATGTTAAAATAAACTTTTTGTTAAACTGTATAGATGGCTTTAGACTTCTTTTTCCGTGTTACCTGCATAAGGGACAGAAAGGTCTACTTGCACGGTTGTGGGGTGGTGGGGCAGTGCTGCTGTCTGGTTGAACCTGTCCTTTCTGAGTGCAAGTCTCAGTTGTTCTCTTCCCAACGCTGCCCTCTATCACGTTTTCCCCACCGTGGTCATTGTGTTGAGCTGTAATAATTAATGACTTTAACTTGTGATGTATCAAAATAAGCTTCACCAGTAATTGCTGTGAAGGGAAACTACTATAGTTGTAGGCAAATGCAATAATAATCCTTCCATGTGATATAGCGCCTTATCACGTCTTTGAGACGTCTCAAAACGCTTCACAGAATATACTGGAAAGTGAATTGACTGTATATTTCGTGAGCGAAATGCAGCAGCCAATCGTGCACAGCAGTGTCCCACAAACAGTCGTGGATTGAAGGGACCAATTTATTATTGTTTTGCTTTGAAGGAATTAGCGATTCACCACTCGACAAACAACCGGGTTCCTACTTCTGTTACTAGGGAAACAGAGGCGTGTAGAGTAAGGAAACTTGCCCAACATTTCGCCCTGCCAGGAATCAACCCAGGTTTCTCGCTTGCTGGGCAAGTGCTCTAACTACTGAGCGACAAGAATCCAATGGCCATTTTGTATGCCACAACTATGAAGTGAGTGCCGGATTTTTAAAGAAAAAATCTCGAGCAATTTTGTCCATGGTCCCTGAGAGAAACTCTTTTCAAATAGTGCCGTGGAATCTTTAATGTCCAACTGGACAGTAGGACAGAACCCTGTTTTAATATCTTTCCCTAAGGATTGCACCATAGTGTTTAGCTTGGACTATGCGATACTAATGTGGGACTTGACCTGCAACCTTTAGCCCCAGAGGTGAGTGCCACCATATTGGCAATCAAACTTGTCATTCCATATGGCTGCCTTTTGTTGAGATCTGCCAACTTAGCCCAGACAGAATAATGAACTGGAATCTGCTTGATCTATATGACTTCAAATCACACTGGTTAAATATTGTTTTTAATCTGCGATCGTTTGCTTTGATAACATCAACATTTGACCCAAACAGATTTTTCTTCTTTCTCCTCCTGCCCCAAATCATGCGATTGGACACATGAAAAGGAAATGTAGGACTTGAGGCAAATATCTGAACAAAATTCCATGATTTTTAAAAATGCATTATTTAATCCAATCTATGAGTATTTGGGGGGGAAGATTTCAATATTGTCTTAATGTATGACATCAATAAAGAACCAGCCAAACATGCAGTTTATGGAAAGGTCATTTTCTGATGTGGCAGTTTGTCACTGATACAATATTTTTATATGACCCTATTAAACTTTACAGAAGCAATTTGACTGTAACTTTAATGGCCTTGGTTAGCTTCAATGACCAGTGTCTAGATCTATCACCATCGCCACTATAAAACTGACAAACAAAATAAACTGGCGCCATCTATTTGCAGTATTCTTGTATTAATTCGCGGAGCAAGTTGCAAAAATCCATATCCACCGGGAAAAGGAATAGGAAATGCCATTTGCTGTAACTTTATATGGTTCAGAGGTTTTATTAATCTGTGCATCTCATTTCTTTCATAATAGAAGCTTTACTACATCTGTCAAATAAGTTTTAAATTGGCAAATCTGCTGTAGTCAGTGGTTAAAAGGAAATGTAAATGTTTTACAAGATGCCTTGAATTTGAGGCAATCCACAATGCCTAACTTTTGATTGGAATAAATCCAATGAAAGCAATTGCCTTAAAGGGCATGTTGCAAGATTCAAACTCTTCGCTTGTCGATACATTTTCATTTTGGGTGTCCTTTCGGTCCTAAAAGCCATTGGTTTTAAGGGAGTCTCAACTGCTGCTGGATGTGACCAAGGATTCTGCGTGCGAATCCAATCAATCTCCTGAGGGAACATTACTACACAAATTCTCCAAGACGATTGAGCAAAAGGTTAGAATCTTCATCTTCACATCTCAACTCCTTGCTTGTTGCTCCCACAAACTACCCTATGCACTTTAGTTGACACTGAAGATGGACCAATTTGAGGATGTCTACTTGCTGGAGATTTGTCAAAAATCTCTGGTAACTTCCCTTCCTAAACAAATGGCACTATACATGCCCCAGTGTTGCCTTTTGTCCCATATACACTGTATTAATCGGGATCTGTAATACAAAAAATGTCAAATTGTGCAAATACTAATTGTTTGTGCTGATGGCAAGTGACATGACTAGTGGATTTTAAATTCTCAACCTACTCTTGCTGTGCTGGTACTAAGGATGTAGTCCATGAAAGGGAAGGGTCAGGTGGACAATACCATAGATCATTCCTGTTGGTTCTCTACAAAGCAAATTGGGACTTTTGTTTACACATGGAATCCAAAGTGAATTTTTAAATAACACAATACAGTATAACTAACTTGCAGGAGATTTAAAAAAGGTAATAAAACTGTATTAATACCACAATGCCGCATTCTCTAGACACTAGAGAATCCCATCACCATTTTAATTCTTTAAAAATTTAAAGTAGGATCATTATGTCTGATTATAGTTACAAGAGCCTAGGTGTTTGATTACTACCGTCCTTGCATTTGATAGAGCACCTACAATGTCAGCGTTGCAAAACACTTTACAGGTAAGTACTGACTATTTATAGGCAGAGCTCTAGTGGAATAATTATTCGCTGGTAACAGTATGTGTGATGCAAACATCATGGACTACTAAACTGACTGCTGTAATATTAAACCACAGCCAGAATTTATCGGCATACGGTTAAAACACCAGTTCCATCC